ATTTGAATTAAACCTAAACTTGATTTAAAAGTTCAATATTGAATCTAATCTAAACTTTTTTAAAAAAAGTTCAAGTTCAAGTTCAGTTTAATTTTGAACTTAACTTGAACTTGACTAAAAGTTTAGTTTAGTTTAGTTTATAGAAACACTACTGACAAGGTTAGTGAATATCATCTGTTAATATCTAAAGTTTATATTTTCAAAAAGTTAAAGATTTTAGAAAAAAAAAAATTTTCATTTAGACAGCACAGGTTTAAATTTAATTTATCTTATATCTATTCTGTATCTATTCTGTATAATGATATGTAGAATATCTCACACATATCTGCAAACTAACTACATATAACCTACATATACCCTACATATATTCTACAAATTTAAGTATTTGTATAAGATTTATATACTATATATACTATATATATAGAATATTTTATCTTATCTTCACTTATCTGCTATTTAATTTGTATAGTTTAAGTATAGAATATATCAAATTTTAACCTGACAGATTGTTTTTGGGTTATATTCTAGCATAAAATTAGAGCTTGCTCTAATTTTACTGTAATAATAAAATAATACTAAAAAAATTACTTTTAAAAAATTTTAAAAAATAAAAAAATTTATTTTGATCTAATTTTATTTTAATTTGTTATATTAATTATTTTATATTTGTTATACAAGATAAGAGTTGATCTTTAGTATAGGTAGGTATATAATTATTATACAATTATAATATATATAAATTAACTATTTTGAACTAATTTAAGTAATTTTGTAAATTATTAGGATTAGAGTTAAGGTTAGAATTTAAATTGGCTCAAATTAGCTAGGTTTTATATATTATAATCTTGTAATAATTATATATACCCACCTATATTAAAGGAGATCCAAAAAGAAGTTTAAAAAGAATATCAATATTTTAATTAATAAAAAAATTATTACTATAAATAAATTTAGTAAAAAATTTAAATTTTTTTAATATTATAACTTTGATAAAATATATATAATTAAATTTTAGTTTAGTTTATTGTTTAAAACAGGTCTAATAACTTTATCAAACAAATATCAATAAAATATAATTTAACAAAATCAAATAGCTAATAAGTAATTAGAATATTAAATTTATTATTTAGTTCTATATATGCTATAACTAAATATTCTTTAAACTAGTTCATATTGTTGATTATATCTTATAAATATTATTTGTATTTTTGCTTTTTTTTATTTATAAATTTATTTAAATTAGATTTTTTAAAAAGAAAAATCTAAATAGTATCTTCATACATAGTGTACTCTTATAGCAAAACTATGCTTACAATATAAATTATATTTATATTAGAATTAGAGTTAGGTTAGAGTTAAGATAAGATAAAATTGTGAGAGAAACAGTTTTACTTATATTATATAACAGGGTTATCTAGTCAAAATTTTAAGATATTAGCAATTTTTATAGTAAGAGGCACACAGTATATAGGATACCATATAGTCTAGTTCTTTTAAAAAAATAATTTTATAAAATTAAACTTTATCTTTAACAAATATTAAAAGAAGTTTATAAAAAGTAATATTTTTTTAATTAAAATTAAGTAATAATATTGGTAAAGTAGATTTGAATTTAATATTAAAGAGTTGTAGTATATAGGCTTTGTAAATTAGAATATTTTTAAAAATACTAACAGTTATATAGCATAAAACATAAGATTAACTAATTATTGTAAGATGATTAATTTTATAATATTGAAAAATAAAACTAATATAATATTTGCTATACAAACAGATAAAGATTGTAAGTTGTAAAAAAAAACTTTAAAATAGTATTACTATTTTTTATTATTACAATAATTGGATTTATATCAATTAGAAGAATATGAAGTAACTGAGATTTACTTGAGTTTGACACTATGATGGTCTCTATATTTAGAATAGTAGTAGTTAATATTATAAAAATCTAGTTCTTGGGTATCTGCTAAGATAAATATTATAATATTAGATTGAAATTTAACAAGCTTTTTCTAGAAGTTAAAACAAGAATAAAAAATTATTTACTACAGCTAATGTGATTTATACGTCGTCCAAAGTTGCAAGCAACTGAATAAGGTTGCTGGTACTATTCATGAATAAGATCCCGGATACCGTATCTAGTAACAAACGGTAAGTGATAGTTAATACCGTATGTTATAAGCAACCCACCAGATTTTGGTGCAGACAATTTGACGAAAGTTTTATGGTTGATTATAAAATTGCACCCGAATATAAACAACCTCTTCGATTAGACTCGAAAAAAATTATTATTATTATTGCAACATTTTTGCTGCTTATGTCTTATATTTGGCTAATACTAATCAATTTGGTTATATATAATTATGTCTTTTTAAAATAATAATTTTAGAGATTGATTATAATACTATATACTTTTATACAAATTGCTTAGCAAATAAGTTTTATTACGTATTTATTTTATACAAATTAATATTAAACAATCAACTTGCTAACTAGCATTTTGCATTCGTTATTATTCAGTGTCTCCGCCTGTTTAAGAACATTATACACCAAGCATGTAGATTTAATTGTACCAGAGTGCAGCCAAACACGACCATTCATCCCAACAGACACTTCAAATGTAAGCTTTTGACCAAGTAATTTACAGATCTCTATTTCTTGGGTCAACAATCTGAAGAATAATAATCAAGAACAAAAATTAAAATAAATAATAAACCCGTAAAAAATCACTAAAACTATAAAGTAAACTAAAAAAAAACCTTTGACAATATCTTAAAGAACATTTCAAGACCATTCCACCTTCTAATTTGCCAAACCCCTCAGTTTTACCATTCGCGGGGTTAAAACATTGAAGCTCCGGGTCCATATCTTTATTTGCCAAAGAAACTCTTGCGTATATCAAATCACCGATCTATTTAATAATGTAATAGATAGAACATTTTCTTAAGAAAAAAAAAGAAAACGCGTAGTTAAAGTATGCGATATGTTTAAAACTGAAAAAGAAACATTTATATCTACATTTAAATTCGGTCTATTCTTTTTTGTAGCATTTTCGA